TTGAATGAAGTGACTCGCAACTTGCAATTACATATCCAATAACCCTTTTGAGTATATCAACATACAAAGACTTCTCATGGACACAAGATTGACTTTGGTTTCTACAAGTCACCATGAGCCACTTGTCATATTGGCACTTATTCTCCTATTATCACAATCTTTGTCCTAGTCTTCACTAATCTCGTTTTTCATCAATATTAACACAATTAATCTTGATATCAACACATGTACGTATCATAATAGATATCAATACCAAGAATAGTTTTGGAATCATCAAAACTCCATAGGGATGTTTTCCCAACATTTTTAATATTCAAATAAAAGTTGGTAAGTGACCCAAATAAGAATTGGTAATTTAAGCTCCACAAATAAATATTGATAAATTTTTTAAACGAAGTTGATAATTTTAAAAAGAGTAGCTAATTTCGTAAAAGACTTTGTTTTTAGATTGGATTTGTTAACCTTTTTATTCGGTAATTTCCGTAAAGATTAGTTAATTAATATCAATAAATTATTGAAATGATTGGTAATTTTGGAAAAATCAAATGAGCATTGGTTATTAAGCTCTGCAAATAAAAATTGGTAAATTTTGGAGCAATTGGTAATTTTGTATCAGAGTAAGTAACTTTAACACTTGGTAACTTAAAAAAAACTGTTATTAACAGCCAAACAAATCTGATAAACGTTGGTAATAAAATAGACTCTTGGTAGTTTTCTAAAAGAGTGAGTAACATGAACAAACTGGGAAGCAGTGCAATTAAATTGCACAATTATTGGAACAATTAATATGTTCCAAACAATCGAACGATAGAAAGCCACTTTGCACAAGATAGAAGCCCTTTCATGAACTTTTAGTAATCCAAATGGCTACCACAGAGGAAAATAAACCATATTACCGTAATTATAAAATAACGTAGATAGAGGAATGGAGTACAACAATGCCATCCACAATGGTAGAAGAATCCAGTCATACCTAAATAGAATCTTTGATTAACCAATTGGTCCTAGCCAGTACTTCCGAGGTCTTGGGTCGATCGGGTCCTGGGCTTAAGCATCAGGGTCATGAGGCTGGCCCGTGGTCTCCAAGTCAAGGGGTCGAGGTTAAGAGCCCGACCTTGGGGTCCTAGGTATCACAAAGTATAGGATTAATGACATTTCTCTCACAAAACATCATAGACAAACTCAAATAGGGGGAGGGGACTAACACCGTGCTGGCCCTCAAGGTTCTTGGAGACTCAATTGTTCCATGATTTTGATGGAGGTGCAATATAATTGCGGTGGTAGCGAAATTTCGATAACAAGTGTTACTTAATAATATAATTTAACATCGAACATTTTCATACAGCGTAGGGACTAAACTGAACATATACCGAAAGTTCAAGGACAATATTAAACAAATCAAAAGTTCAAAGACCACATTCCACATCGAGTCAAAGTTCAAGGATCACATTAAACAAATTAAATGTTGAGGGACCACATTGAACATTAGGTTAAAGTTCAAAAACTGTTTGTTCCTGAATTCACTATCGCATCGAAAATTAACTCGCAATGACCTTTTCGATCAATTATATATAAACAAAAGTTGCAAAAAAGAAAAAGAAAAGGAAATTACACATAAAAGTTTCATATCATTTGCCCTATATTAGCCTTGCCCTAAGGTTCTCCTCTACCTCTGCCAAAGCCACCCCACCTATAAAACCACGTATAATCCCGTCGCTTCCAAACCCTAGCCGACAGACCCACAGAGAGATCTCCAGGAGGAACCCGCGAAGATGGTGAAATTCCTCAAGCCCGGGAAGGCCGTGGTGGTGCTCCAGGGCCGCTACGCCGGCCGGAAGGCCGTCATCGTCCGCAACTTCGACGACGGCACCAGGGACCGCCCCTACGCCCACTGCCTCGTCGCCGGCATCAAGAAGTACCCCAGCAAGGTCGTCAGGAAGGACTCCGCCAAGAAGGCTGCCAAGAAGTCCCGCGTGAAGGCCTTCGTGAAGCTCGTCAACTACCGCCACCTGATGCCCACCCGCTACACCCTCGACGTCGACCTCAAGGACGCCGTCGCCCCCGACTCCCTCCAGAGCAAGGACAAGAGGGTCACCGCCGCCAAGGAGGCCAAGAAGCGGCTCGAGGAGAGGTTCAAGACCGGCAAGAACAGGTGGTTCTTCACCAAGCTCAGGTTCTGATTTTCGGGTCCGTTTGCGAAATGGGTGTTCGTCGTGTTAGGGGAAGATTCGATTTTTTATCACTTTTGTTTTCAATACATGGATGGAGCGAACGATGAATGAGAGGCGAGCCTGGATTGGGCTTGTATTGGTTAATTTGGAGCTTGAACATCTCATTCAATTTTGAAATGTGTGACCGCTGTTAATGTTTCAGCGTTGGATCTGTTTCGGGTTGGTTATGTTTTCTTTGCTTCGAGCATTTCTTTTATTCTATGTGGTAGTGCTTCGACTCGGTAGAGGAGTGAAATAAACGTGCACGTTGCCGGTGTTTCATACTGTTTAGATTGGGCGGAATTGAGCATGTCATGGTTATAAGTGAATTCAGAGTTTCTGGCATTTTCGTTCGGTGGTCGATTCGTTTATCCTTTAGGCTGCTCGGTTAATGGGGTCGGAGTAGGGATTTTTTGGCATAAGTATGCTATTGTTCTAAACAATGTCTGCTTTCAACCAATGATGTTTGATCAGGTATGATCAGGGTGATATGGCACATTCTAATTTATTAATTTGTGATTGAATGCTGTCTTTTTTTAAAGGAATTTGAGTTGTTTCCTGGGGAGGTGGTGAATACCAAAGAGGGAACAGAGTTGTTCATTTCTTGGCCTTGATTTTCTCTACTTGCATAATGACTTGCCCATATGAATTGCAGAGTTAGAAGTTTGATTCTAGAGAGTGCTGTGAAGCTGTCTTTCATGTTATCTTATTCTGAATCTTGATTTGTGCTTGTGATAGCAATATCAAATCCATCCAACATGAAATTAATGGAGTTGTTGGTACTTTTGTTAGTCGCTGTATGTTGTGTCAGTCCTTGTTGTCAATATCAGGTCAAATTCTTCGTTGCTAGGATTATGGTTCTAATCAGCATACTAGTGCTTCGTTGAGTGATGCCATTGATCGATGAACATATTTTAGCTGTAGTCTCTCTTATGTGCTTATTCACGCTAATAATAATCATCATTTATATTTGACAAGAAAACTCATCGGGATTTGTCGTCATTGTGATTTCTTTGTTGGGCTTTGGTGATTGGTCATTGCAATATCACAGTTTTAGATCCTACTCTGCTTTTTTTGGAACTAGAAAACTGAATCATCAGTGTCTCTTCGAGTGGCTGATCCAATTGCACGGTTATTTTCCCATGCCTTCCTCCTTGTTTCATCTTTCTGGCGTGCTGTCATGCTATCTCAAGGCATGTATACAAAGTTACAAATTGATGTCTCTCACACATAAGTTTTCGGGTCATATCCTCTTTCTTTCTGTCCCCATTGACTCTCTCTCTCTCTCTCTTTGGGGTGCTCGCTCTCTGCTGGTGATGCACAGAACATTCATACAACAGTAACACAACGATAATCCAAGCATTATATCACTAAGTGGGGTCGACTCAGCTGTTTGATTATGTGTGTTGGAATGAACTCCACTACAGGTCAAGTATAAGTTTGCTTTATCACAGTGTAGTTCGGCGACTAGGACAAATTCACTGCTTAGGTAGGAGTTGCCTCTCGTATCCTGGAGTGCAACTCCCATTTTTTCAATGTATCAAATAGCTCTGGCTATTTTGATAGATCCTTTGGTGCTCTCTCTGATCCTGGGTAAACTACATACGTTTCTTTTCATTTGCTCTGGCATTGTGAGATAAAGTGTCAACAGTCCTTCGCCAGTATGAAAGTTCGTCCTATTAATGTTTCAGGATTTCAATACTTGAAGTTCAAAAACTTCAAATGTCTTGTCATTCACGACCTTGGTAATAATTTAGATGGGTCCTGAACCATGCACTAGTTCAAGCTGATATGAGACGGTCTATAGGGGCGTGGAAAAGTAGAGTAACGGACTTGGAACTCTATGGCTATGTAGTCGTAGTCATCCTCAGCCTCTCTCTTGGTACGGGCATTTCTATTTCAACACTTGAGTGGTATGGTCTTCGATTCCGAGACATGTTCTACATATCTTACTCAGAGAGGCTTATTTCCTAGCTCGAATGACGAACCTTTCGATTGGAAGGTGTCGTCCTCAATGAAAGTTGCATTCAATCGAGATAAAATTTATCGCTTTCTCCGAATCCCATAGATTGTAATTTGCATCTAGAAGCATGAGGTACAATGGACAGACACTAAGGAAAAAGAAATGTCTCCAGACAAATTTTTTTTTTTTGTGAAATAAGAGATTGCGAAAAAGGATAAAATAGCTAAGACCGGAGTTCACCAATCCGATGAAATTCAAATTGCCAGCAACTAATAGACGCTCTATCCCATTAGTGCGGTCCATTTTGGTTTTAGTTAAGTGGGTGATCTCCATTATATTTGTAACCTGTCAATCAGAGGCATGGCAATTCTTTCAATCAGAATCTTTCAATCAGAATTGGAGGAAAAATATAATTCTTACCTTTTTATGCTCATTAGAAGGCAAATGCTCCTTTGCATTCGTGTTTCTCCTCTGTCCATGCTAATTCAGTCATCTACAGGTCACCAATTCTGGATTTGTTTAGGGTGCATTTGTTTCAAAGAAAATTCCACGATAAAGTAAAATATTTTTTATGGAAATCGTTTTCAAGGAAAATAGTTAGTTTTCATTTATTCTGTGGTTTAGAAAAAGTGATCTCTTTCTTGTCGGAAGGTCGGAAGGAGAAGTCATTATCCCTCCTTCTGAGCTTGTTTTCGGTCCATGGAACAACGTTTTTCCGTAAACCAATGAGTTTTCCATCATCAAAACACCAGAAAATTGAAGAATTATTTTCTCGGAAACAGTTTTCTATCAAACAAACGGGTCTTAAGATTTTTTTTTTTCCCACATGACATTGAAGCTAGTTCACTCTTACATCATCTAAGAATATAATTTCCTTGATCGGAATACAACAATGCTGTTAACGTTCGCGATCAAGAAAGCTCTCTCCCAAGTATAAACCAAAAACAAGAGAGAAAACCAAAAGGAAGAAGAAGAACAAGTTTGACCCCGATGTTGACTCAACGAGACGGGTTTCGGGTGGAGCTCCGGAGGAACGACCCGGCCTTGGTGATTTCTCGAAGGGGCTTGTCGGTGAACCGGACCAAGTTGTAGACCCACGCCCCGGAAATCGCCCCGGCTATCGGTGCCACTATATAGATCCACAGCCTGTCGTAATGGTGAGACACTATCGCCGGACCTAAGCTCCTCGCCGGGTTCATCGACGCTCCCGTTATTGGCCTAACCACCACCAGAAAAAAAAAAAAAAAACCTCAGAATAATCATCACAAAATCCCTAATTTCCACCCGAATTAATACTTTTATTATTGTTATTATTATTATTATTATGAGATGAGGATGAGATGATAAATTTTTGAATAAGTCATTACCCTGCAAACAAGACGTTGAGCAAGACGGTTGCACCAACAGCAAGACCGCCGAGTTCTCCTATCTGCACCGATCACAAACATCACCACGTTAGCTTTCGACCAATCACCTCTTGCTTTCCAAAATCTTTCTCCATATCCCTTGGAAGAGCTGACAATTTCCGGTACGAATCCACACGTGTTAGCGAATGTTTGGCGCACAGAAATATAGGTTTTTTTTTTACGACACAACTCAATGCGATTACATAACTCGAGAATGATACGTGAACACGAATGGCCGGCCCTGGTAACAACTTAGAAGTGGGTCGACCCCTTTCTTGTTAGGAGAGCCTAGGGTTGCCCTCTTTTGGCCAGATTTTGGGATTGAGCCCTTTCGACACATAAAGGGCCGGTCCTCTCGAAAATAAAGTCGGAGAAGACATTAGAAAAGAAGCGGGAATGAACCTAAAGGGCGGTTGGGTGGTGGGGGGCCGCCGCCCTCCGGCCTCTAGGTACTATGCGCAAAATGCATCCATTATTTTCCATGTCCATGAGAATTCCACGTAATTTCTTTCTAATCTCATGCGATTTTATAAGATTTCCTTATCCCACCTCATTTTGAAGAGATTGTGCATTAAATTCTATTTGTACAGGCATTTCCATTGAAATTTCCCCAAAGTAATTCAAAGAAAGAAGTTAGAACTCACCGCTCTATCATCGGTGCCGACGCCGGAGACGATGAACATGAGGTAAAAAGTGATGATGAACTCCAGGACGAACGCTTGCACATTCGAACCGGCCGGTTCGGTCCCCACGAAATGGTTGAGCTTGCCAGTGAATAGCAACCGTAGCGTCCCGCTCGCCAACGTTGATCCAATTACTTGTGCCGATATATATGCAGGTACCTACACGCCAAGAACAAAATGCAACCAACCAAGAGGAAGGTTTAGCTTAGCAAAAACACATAAAAGAATCGACATAAGTCCTGCACAATGAATCTACGTATATTTGTTTGTACATTTTTTTTTTGCCTTAAAAAGTGAGTCATATTCTACACATGTGACTCGGATTAATTAAAAGGTCATAGGACGATACCGTTGGAAAAGATGAAAATGAAATCAATGGTCCGAGGCATGCAAACCTTCTCTAAGGATAATTCCGCCCATCGGAATATGAAACTCGACGCAACAGGTTCTAGCGGCTATATTCCACGATACGACAAACCTTTCTCATAAAAGTGCACAGAATAATAGAAGGAATTATATGTAAAACACAGCAAAGGAAGGAAGGAGAAGAGAGAATTTCTTGTTTTGGTATATATGTTGGATTATAGTTGGAGGTTCTATGTTTAGGCAAATAAAAGAGGGGTTGGTATGATAGTTCAACCATTTTAAATGGGAAGATACACAAAAATAGTTAGGAGCGTGGACTTCGGAAGTGATATGGTCGAACCTGTTTCCATGGAAACCTCTTGCAGGTTGCGAAAGCAATGGTGACGGCCGGATTGAAATGGGCGCCAGAGACGTGTCCGACTGAGTACACCAACACCATCACAGCCAACCCCCACACTATTGATATCCCCGGGAGCGTTACCACCTTGTCGTTGTTCAAGTTCACCACCACCGACCCGCAACCCGCGAATATCAAGAAGTACGTCCCGAAGACCTCTGCGACCAACTGCAACGTTTTGAGAAATTCGGGATCAAACTCCTTCGTACCGGAAGTCCTAAATTTTCTGCATATTATTTTAAGTTTGAGGAGTCTTAAACTGCCATGGCAGTTTCATTCATCACGATGAGGAGCAGTGCACCATATGTGCACCTCAAAAGATTCTTGATGAACATTTATATTATGAGTGAACACACACGAAAAAGAAAGAGTAGAAACCAAAAAGAAAACAAGAAGGTATCTAGGGTTTGGGGGAAAAAAGAGTCTCCATGAGAACAAAAGTTAACCTTTTGAATAAAGGGAAAAGACAAGAAAGTGCATTTGATCTCTTGCTTGGTGTTGGAAGTGTCTCTTATTTCCAAGACAAGTCCATGGTCTCCGTTGCTCCCACTGATCTGATCTGCCATTTTCTGCAAACTCAAGGTAAGGAACAGGTAACAGCTTCTCAAGATTGACAAGAAAGGGGGAAGAAATCACTGATGTGTGTTTGAACCGGTTGGCATTTGGAAAGAAGCACAGGCCCAATTTATAATAGTACCTGAGAGAAATAGATGAGGATAAAGATTGCGTGTGACAGTTTGGATTTCTTATAAATAATCATGCTTCTAAATTTGTTTCTTCTGACTATAAACCTACTAAGCCTGTGAACAGACCTGGCATTGGATAAACTATTCAACAACCTTAAGCTAAAATAGAGGCACAAGCACCTAAGCCCAGTTGGATTTATAATTTGGGGAAATTGCTTGTTCTGATGCTTATTTTGGCATTGTTGGCTTTGAGATTGGACCTTGATATCTTGTTTGGATGACAATGATATCTTGGGTTTGGCTATAATTAGCTGGTGCTTGTTTAAGGAAACTAGATAAATTGCTCTTGCTAGCAAAGATATTGGAGACTGCTTTGTCCTATAATGGGACTAAAGGGGCAATATTGATCCATTTGGAAGATATACGCTTTGTGGATTTTTAGATTATACATAAGTATACCTCTCATGAGCTGCTACTCCGTGAGGCCTTCCTAGATTAGCCTTGTTCGTTTCACATTTGGCTTGATGTATCATCAAAGTCAATGATTTGCGTACATATTCAACACAGATGTGAAGACATTATGTGCATGCAAATTTTATTCGAGCGCCAGAAGTTTGCCTAATTTTTGTGTGTATATTTTTCATTTACATAGGCAAAAGTTTATAATGTCTTGAGAGATTATCGACTTCTTTTTGCCATAGCATATCGAATGTCTGACTGCATGAATGCGTTATCTTTTTGTCAACAAATTGAAGATGATACTAATGGTGTAAAATTTAGAGATAGGAATGAGAACTGAATTATCTAGATTAAAATTACCTCAATAATAAAAATTGAATTTTTAATGGTATTAACTCTTAATTTAAATTATAAAAACTTTTATTTCCTTAAGTTCATCCTTTAATATTAAAAAGATTGGGTTGTATTCTAGAATTCAATAGTAACTCCGTGTGAAGCATGTCTACAATAACAATTTCAAAAGTATAGATGGTCACCATAATTATAGTCTCGTTAAATTTTTGTCCTAAATGATGCCACTTTTTTTTTTGTCAATAGTATCCTTATGCCCATCAAGTAATCAAACATGGAAATTCTTGCAATTTATTCAATTCACTTTACACTATATACGATAAATACTTTAGATAAAATAGATCCTTCTCAAAGCTTGACATGGATATATCATAGAAAGCATGACCAGTTACTTCTTTTACCTCAAAATCTATATTATTTTAAACAAATTAATTTTAAATTAAAAACTCATTATGTTTTAAGGACCACAATCATTACATCAATAAAAAAATTCGTTCAAACACCTTTATTTAAAAAATGCAGCAATATGAAATTCGAAATTCTTCTGAAACCTACGTCCATGAAATGCAATTTGATGAATTGAAAATGTTACTGGTTTTTCTTAAGTGTAAGAATCGAGTCAATAGGATGTCGGACGGAAAAGATATGTTCCATCAAAGTTTGGCCAAATTTGTTTAAAATTCATATGAATATAATTTTTCAAAATTTTTTCCAATTTCATGAATTGAAAAAATCAAGTTGTGGGCTTTCTGTAGGTGTAAGAATTGAGTCAATAGAATGTCAAACGGAAAAGTTATGCTCGATCAAAATTTGGCCAAATTTGTGTAAAAATCACATGAAGCAATGCGGTCTGGTCAAATTTCTTCGAGATGAGACCAATTCATCGAGCAAGTACATGCGATGTAGATCCTGCAATGTGGAGCACATCACATGCGATGCCTGGTTTTGCAAGGAGTGCTACGAGAAGTTTGGCAAGAGTGTGAAAGAGCTCAAGTGAGAGATGGAGAACACCACGGACTCCTTCTTGAGGTCCTGGATCATGACCGACCACGACCATCTTAGTGGTTGCTCGCTTGCCCCGCGTTCGCCAACGTCCTCTAAATCGCCGCCAAGGATGTAGGGTGACTAACAAGAGCTTATTTTAATCAACTTGCTGGTGGGAAGCCGATGTTGTCCAAGTCGTTGAATCCGGCTAGTAGGTTAATATATCCTCCGTGGTCTTCATGTCAACGTCAATGTTGATATACAACCGCTCAAGATTGCCACGATCACTGAAGTGTGAATGTAGCAACTTTATAAACGTCTTCGCATGTTCCACCGTGTTCAATATCAATACTTGGTCCATCTTAATTGTATCTACTATTTTTTGGAGATGGTTAGTCGCTGCTTCTTGTGCAAGGAGTCTCGTGGACACCATTCCTACTTAGGATTTGTTGATGATCTTGCTCTGATTTGAAGTTTGGGTTTTTCTCTGCTTTTGATGTGAAATCCGTTTGAATTTGGTAATTTGGGAATTTGAGAAGAGACGATAATCAAAATTACCCATCAAGCCAAAGTTATGCCACGTAAAAGTTTGATTGAACTTGTGTAAAAATCACATTAATATTATTTTTCAAAATTTCTCCAATTTGATGAATTGAAAACATTGGATGACAACCTTTTTGTAGGTATAAAAATCGAGTGAACGGGATGTCGGAAGGAAAAGTTATGCCCAGTATGAGTTTGGTCAAATTTGTGTAAAAATCACATGAAAATAATTTTTCAAAATTTTTTCCAATTTGATGAATTGGAAACATCGGGTTTGGGTTTTTCGGAGGTGCAAATCGAGTCATTGGATGTCGTGATGGAAAATTATGTCTGGTAAAAGTTTTGCCAAATTTGTGTAAAAATTGCATGAATATAAATTTTCCTAATTTAATGAATTGAAAAAAATGGGTCACTAGGTTTTCATAAGTGCAAAAATCAAAGTCAAGGAAATATTGGATGAAAAAGTTAAGGTGCAAAATTATTCTGTTCATCAAATTGGCAAAAATTTTGAATTGAGACGAGGAAGGGTGAAGAAGAAGAATATTCTTCCATGTCTAAGTGCCAATCAGAAGTATCGGTACTGCCAGCCACACTGGCCAGTCCTCAACCGTGGTGAGGAAGGGCAGTCATGCTGGCAACTGGACTGGGCTGTCGGTTTCACGTACACGTAATGGGGAGCTGATCAAATTTAAGTCTAGAGCTGCAGAAGTCGTGTTCTTCCAAAGGTTGAAAAAATTCCGCAATGGGAAGAGCCGGGACCCTTTGGTTCACACAATTGCATTCTTCAATCTCATCTGCAACAATTCGCAACTTCCAAATAAGATTAGGAAGATAAAGCGCAAGTTTGTGAAGGGGACAATGAGCAGGCGATTTGAAAAGAACCCGCGATCGGAAGGTCTCAGAGCTTTTCCGGGTCCTTCGATGGCCATGGTGGAGAAGTGCTCACGTCCCTCAAGGGCAAGCATGCAGCTGCCCCGTCCAAGTCGCGAGAGGACGAGGTTGAGGAGAGCGACTGGGTCAACGTGTCTTCTCTGTTGCAGCTAGACCGAATGGGTCTCGATGAGGTGGTTTTGAGAGTTGGTATGGGAATGATAGACCGCTGGAAGATGGACGAACTAAAGGAAAGGAAAGGCTGTGGGAGTTTCGAATGGGAGAGCTGCAGATGCCACGAGTAGAACAGCCCTGACGAATGACCTGACCAAATTGTTCATAAATAAATACCGTTCATGGATGGTACCATCGGGCAACGGCGGTAGGAAAATAGTCATTAGAAGGGGTTTTTTTTAGATTGTGTTTTTTTTTTTGCACGAAATCTAATATCGGAAGTTTATTGTGGCTTCTGCATTTGTCTTGAATATTTTGCACATTGCAAGCCATTCATGTTAAACTTAGGAATTCATTTGCTAATCGTGCTTTATTTGGTCGGGCAGTTAGGGATGTGAATCGTGGGTTTATTGGGTGGTCTAGTTTATCATCGGGAACTATACTCAAATTGCTTGGTCCTCATATTCAGTTCGCCAGTAGACACCCTCCATCTCTTGTATTCGCAAGCATACATACGGTCTTGGTTCATCATAGTCCGATGCAAAAGCTAAAGATACGTTCTTTGTCCTCCTTGGAATGTCTTCAAAGATCATCTTCTCTTGTCTCGAAACCGTAGACCAGAGGTCGCTCGTGGTGTAACAGTCTCCCATCCCACGACAGACGACAAAAATTATCCAATTTGTCGTGGATGTTTTTATCTTTAGGCGTGCATGACATTGTCATGAAGAACAATAGAAGATGGGAATGTAAAAATAACAAGACAGCACTCATCAGGATTCAGGAGTGCCCCTCGTGCCGTGCCAACCCACTTTTCGGGTCCGGCCACAATTGGTTTGGAACCCATCTGGGAAAAAATTAAAAAATAGAACATATAATTTTTTTGAAGAAAAGTTTAGAATATATAATTTATGCTATTGAATAAAAGTTGCAAGGAATGGAAATGTAAAAATATTTTTGGAGAAATAAGAGAGTATGTAAAACGATCAAAACATGATGTACTTATATACTGCAATATTTAAAATTTGATATTCTATACCGCACTTTGTCGATCCGACGATTTCTTTTCTTTTCTTTTCTTTTCTAATAAATAGTAAAGTTTGCATTGGATACCTTATTTTTATGGATAGATACAATTACTGTCACGCCCCGCACCCTACGAGCGCGCGGTCATCCCTCGATGGTCGATCATTGAACGCGACGTCCCAGGACGCGTCGCCGACCCAAACGAAACACCCAACAATAAAGACAAGCGGAAGCGAAACTAATTAACCCAGACAATAAACAATGACAAAGGGATAGTACGAAACAATAATTGCATACCATCATAAAGTAGTCACTATACAAAACGATAACTCGGGCTACCAATTTAGAACCACAGTTTTCAAAAGGGGGCGGTGGTTGACAAGCTTATCTCCTCTACAAAAGGTACTCAAAGGACAGGGTAAATGATCTACTCTTCAATTCCTGTGGTGCTCTGGCGGCGTCTCCGAATCGATTAC